TATTTATATTTTTGTTTCTTACTGTATACAGCTTGCCTTCTTCCTGTCTTATATTTATATACATTCCTTTGATGTCAAGTATTCATGTGCTACTCTATATTAATGGATTTTTATGATTTTTAGCATTAAGAAGAAGTTGAAGAAATCAAAAGAAATGGTCAATGCAAACAACGTTACCACTTCTACGAATACTCAAGTTTGCAGTGCTGCAAAGAATGATGCAACAAACGTGAATAACCTTTTGTCTCAAGAAAACGAGAGGACAAACACGAATGTATCCAAAGTTCAGATTATTGGCGAAAATTCGACGAATTTTGTAAGTCAAGCTACAGTGAAGTCTAACGACGTTAATACCGATAGGAAGCAACATAGTAATAAATATAAAGACAAGCATATAGAGAACAATGCGGGCCAGCAGCAGGAAAGCGCCGCGGTCAACAATTTTACAGTTGGTAAAATTTCTGTAGTACCTACAGCACAACTAATGGCTCAAAAGCCAACTAAGAGTCACGTTGAGAAATTTAATTTTATGGATTTAACAAACAGCTCTCTGTCCATAACACGTGTTGATTACGACAAATTATCGACAAAGATAACTGAAGCGATAAAGGATAGAGTTTCCATTACACCGTGTCCGGAACCTGTGAGCCATTCTAAGACAAACGAAATTTCCCAAACAGGACATCATTCCGTATATAGACAAGATACTTCCTATTCGTCAGCACAAGCCTTGAAACATAGGTTCTTGCAGGAAAATGTTGACGTTAAATGCGAAAAGAGATTGGACGACAAGGATGTTGAAGCAACGGTCATAAAGACTGAAAAAAAGGAGAAAAAACGAGAGCGATGTGTGGAAGTCAAGCATAAATCTTCGCACGATCAGAAGAAAAGAAAGAAAGATCACAAGATGATTGAGCAACAAATAGGGCCTATTAACCAAGATGTAGTGCCTGTGCCACAGCAAACGACTCTCTCGAAGGAGGAACAGGAACAAAGGCAAAACGAGGAAACAATTGCTGCAACTAATTTTCTTAGTCAGATCATCAACGATGATTCTTCGCCACGAGGATTAACTGATAAACGGAAAGATGGTTTCATCACGGATGATACTTTAGCGAACGCAGTACAACCAACAGAACAGGAAAAGGATGTCCAGATGGTAATGAGATCGTTGAAGGAGTTGCAAGAGTTACAAGAAATGAAATACTCCCCTAATAATTCGCCGGTCGGTGGTACTATACAAAAGCCTGGTAAATCGAACGCGCAATATGTCGCTTATCAGGAAGACTATCAGCGATTGTATCTTAAGAAGGAAGATAAAATAAGGTCTAAGGAAGAAGCGCAATGGTAGAAAAGACGTATCTTATCGTCGATTTGAAGTTTTTTTTTCTTGGGGACGGTAGTAACGATCAGTTAGTAGCGAAAGATAATAGGCGGATTCTTGATATTTATGTAATTACGTTTCGTTTCATATGAACAATCGAGCGAAGGCTGACGGAAACTTCTTCCACTTATACAACGCCATTATTGGCGAAGTAAAACGCAGCTATATAGGTCTATAGCGGTCATACTGTGTATATCGTGTAAGGATTTTTAAATATTTTCAAACAAAAACCGCCAAATTATGTACATACATTACAAATTTGCTAGCGATAGTTTTGGTTGTATGTGTACAGTATAAGTATATAAATTATAAAATTCTAAGGTATTCAAAAGATGTGGATACACTTGGCGAATGAGCAATGAGCGAACGAGTGAATGTAAAGTTGAATTTATTAGAACTTTCTATACCAGTTTCATGATCTAATTGGATATGAATTAAATTTTGTTCGTATTTACTGTGCACGTACATCTTTACAAGATTTAATAACGAAAATTCACGTTCGCTCTCCGTTCATCATTTGTTCGGTGTATGCATATCTTAATAAGTATTTGTGTAAATAAGTGAGCAGCGTCCAATCGCTCTGTGAATTGGGTGGTCTATGAGAATTTTATTTTCATTTATTCGACGAGCCTTCTGTGATTTTTTATTGTGATTTTGTCGATTATTTCGAGATCGGCATTTAATATAATTTCGGCTACATATTTGTAACATTTTGTTTTAATCGTAAACATAAGCATATGAAATGCTCTTTTTTTTTATAAATAATATAGGACGAATGGATTATTGGTGTCTGTAACTCTTTTCTTTATATTTTCTTATATTTTTTGACTACCCGTATCACGGAGCGAGAAAAAGATGTTTTGTGTACTGTTCCTCCTTGTGTTTCGTTTGTCATTATCACAATGTATGTACGCGAACGAAAAGAAACAATTCGATATACATTCATTTCTCGAAATTGCATTATTGCCTTCTATAAATATGATTTGTTATAGTATAATTATAATGAATTGGCGATTCGTCATAGATATTTATAAACGAATTGACGATTGCATAGAACAAATGAGTGCAAAGCTGTGGTATTGGATATGTGCATGATTTCGTAGGAGCAAAAAGTCACAATACTTCCACTACATTATCTTCGCGCCGTCTTTTTTTTTTGCTGTAACATCACAATAAAATATCTTCAACGCTTTATAGTGTTGGAGGCGGGAGAGTGCGATTATCACTATATTAGCTCAAGAAGGTACGTGCGAGCATCCGTTGCTTTCTCGACTTGCAAATTTGTGTGGCTTTGTATGTGGCTTGACTGAATAATAGACATGTTAGATAGTGTGTGGAAAGGGGGAGAGTGCGAGAGGACGTGCGAAAGAGAAAGAAGTCTCAGTGAGACGACGAGAGTGCGTGGAAGAGCGAGAGAGCGAGAGAGACAACTAGAATATTTTTGGAACACATAAAGATGACTAGTACTGTATTATATACCGTATACCTTACCCACCCCCACCCCTCCCCCGATTTATCCCTATGATACTTAGAATATGGATAAAGAACGTCTTGTACAATTCCACATTGAGAATTTTCACTAAGACGACTTAAAATATAAGTTTTGAATATTTTTTACATAAGCCATACGATTTCTACCCTTCTCTTCTGCGTCGTGCGATATGTCGCATCGTTGGTGGCATCTGAGATTTTTCCTTTTTTTTGCCTTTGATCCGAAGACGATCCTGAACAAAAACTAAGAAATTATAACATTACATTAATGTTATAATTTCCTATTCAACAATATAATTGTTATGTGATATGTACATGTTACATAATTTACATTGTTGAGTGAGAAGTTACATGATATAATATTACTGTCAGTTTGTGTTCTGCAGAGATCCATACAGCACAGATCATTCTAACAATATTACAGCAATATTCCAGTAATATTGCAAAATGTTGTAGCAATATTGCTGCAAGCTTCTGTGTTGTATGGAGACTTTAAATATTGGTTTTGAATATATTTTACATAAAAACCATTTCTATTCTTCTCTTCAGTATCGTGGGACATATTGCGTTATTAGTGGTATCTTCATGATTTTTTCTTATTTTTTTTCGCCTGCAATTCGTATCGATTTATTGGAAAACGCAATACGCGAAAAGATCCAACGCTGTCATGAGTAGTGTGTACGACAAGAGCGAGATTTCTGAAATTTTTTTTGTAAAATGTTATCGAAGATTTTACTCTTACTTACATTGCGTTGATCTGTCCGGCTTACCAGAGTTTTCTGGTTGCAAGTTCAAAGTGTTGTCATAAAATATAAAGTGTATCATTGTTAGATATACGTTGAAAGCATTCGTACAAATTCGAACAATCCACTCGTATTCGGAATCTAATGGTTTTTTTTCGGACATTTTATCAATTTTTGCTCTTGTGTTGTCACATGACCGAGAAAATTACAATTTTACTGACTATTGTTCAACATTTTGGATAGCAATGGATAATGTGTCATTCTCTTCATTTTTCGATAACGGGACAATTTCAGAATGCGGAATAATTATGAATCATGATTTCTATCAATGTAGATGAATTTTAATTTCGGTTTAACTTACTTTTTATTTTTTTCTATGAATAATATATCAATCCATTAATTTGTATCAATGTATATAAATATTAATTAACTTCAACATTGATTTAATTTACTCTTTATCTTTTCCTAATTTTTAAAAAATTACTTTTATATGCAGTTTAACATTTTTTTTCTTTTTTTATCGTTTCTTTCATAGTGGTTTTCTCTTTTACCATGTGTTTTCTTTATTTTATTTCTTTTACTCCGTACTAAATCATTCCAGCAGTATCGCAATAATAATGCAACGTTTTTAGAAATATTGCAATAAAACTTTCCTTATACGCACAGGTCGAATTATTCCAACAATTTGTAGTGACACACTGCAACGTCTCAATAATATTGGAAATGTTGCAGCAATGTTGTTGCAAGCTTTGTACTGTATTCTGTCAATTTCTATCAATGTTAGTCCAAAATTATAATATCAGTTTACATTGGTAGAGATGAACATTAGGAAGAGTAAATTAATTAAGTAAATCAAGAGTAAAATCGAGAGAATTAATATCTATCAAAAATTGATCACCTTATATTGAGTATAAGGTGATTGAAGAAATCAAGAAATTTATTTCTTCTTTTAACATCGCAAGGATGTCTAGTAAAGTTTACAAGCGACTGTCTTGGAAACGAGTGCATTAGGCCTGTTCTTTTTGAAGCATTTTTCTTCCTTTTCTCTCGAGGAGGAAAAAAAAGAAAGATGAACTGGTGTAAAAGTTTAGCCAAAAAGAACAGGCCTATTATTTCGTGTAAAACGAAAGGCGCTCGCCTCTCGTACTTCGATTATTGATCAATTTTATCAGTTTCCGAGATATCTGACCGACCTCGTTCCTATTCTCGTTCATCGCGGCCTATAAAATCGTTCATTCTCGCGCGCGCGCGTCGCATTTTGTCGCATTTCCACAGGAAGTTGGGTGTCTCATCGCGCAGCGCCGCCACAATCGCGCGCGCCTCGTGACGTAATGCGACCGCGGACTGAAGTGAGCGGGGGTGGGCGGGAAGGTGGGGAGGAGACGGCGGTCTGATGTGTGACCTTGCAGTGTTTGTAAACAGACACACGTTGCCGTCGCGAAGTGTTACGGACGATCGCCATCGCGAAGACCGAGCTACCCTGAACGCGCCTGTTCGTTTCCGTAGATCGACGCCTGTCGTGCGCAACGCCATGGAAGTCGAGCCAATGTGCATCGTGGAGAATGAGACGGTGAGTGGCACGATTTTTCGGCAATACGTGCGCCTGACAATGTGCTCGCGCGTGACGCAAACCTGTGCCATGGGGAAACAGCTACACGGGTCTTGTGTGCGCGCACCGCGGGGATTACACCACATTGTGCAAAGAGGGCGCGCGTCGGATGGATGTCAGACGCGTGTTTCGCGCGTCTCGACGATCGCGATGGCACGCGCGAATTGCAATTGTCCCGACGTTCCAGGCTGCGAATCGATTGAGATCGCGAGTGGCGGGGAAGCGGGCGGGACGGCGGAGGGGAGGTTGCTGTTTAGCTGATATTTCGTTCATGCGGTCAAGCTGGCGCCTGATTCGGCTTGGCGTTCTTCGCGACAGATAGCGCTGTCGTCGCCGCTGTCTCCCGCGCGATGGCGCTGACTTCACGTCAGTTGAAATTGAACCGCGCCCGCGATTCAAATCGTCTCCCGTTCGTTTATAGCGTCACGGAGTTGTTGCCTAGAACGGCCGTACGAACGATTGAATTGGTTTTCGAAATTCGTGAACTATTTTGACGAGCGTTGCGGATAGAGCGGCGAGCGGATGCTATTTGGTTTCGGTATGTATTTTGCGAATGTAGTATCGCCGTCCGACATCTTGTTTGAATCCTGTCGATTTCCAGTGGAAACTTTCCAAGGCGAATTGCGTTCTAGTTGCTTTGTGATCGTTTGAGAGCAAGTTCTACCCGCGAATAATTATAGCAAGTGTCGTAACGCATTGAACATTTCGCGCAATCGTTAGTATTAGTTTCGTCTCTTATTTCAAATTATCTTACCTTGTCGAAGTGCAGCGAGTGCGCGATGAATATACTATCGTCGCCAGGTATGCATGCACACTTAAAAAATTCGTGTTAAATTTAACGCATTTTACGTGTCTTAAATGGTCCACCCAAATTTTCGTGTAAATTTAATGTAAGATGAATACGACAGGAAATAATGCAAATATTATGTAAAAATTAATACAAGAATAACACTGACACAATTTGTAAGCAAATTGCGAAAGTATTTTTTTTTTCAGTAAAATTAACATTTATAATATGTTAAGTTACATATTTTATTTATTTATCTTAGGATTTACATTTTAAAATACATTATTTTTATGTTATTTGTTCATTTACTATTATAAGAAGTTATTTCAATACTAAAAAATATTGAATATAAATTTGACGCAAAGTTCTTAAATAACAATCACATTATGTTAAATTAACATTTGAATATGTTAAAAATTTAACATAAAAATTTTAACAAAGACCAGTTTTAACACATGAATACAAAATATTTTTATTGTGTATGCATCGTGTAATTAACTGAGTTGATCGTGTTTTTTTACCCTCCATCGGCAATGTTGGATTTTAAAGGTATCGATTTTTCAATTATGAATTCGGGTAGATAAATTTAAATTTGTAAAAAACAAACAAAAGTGCAATTTAATTTTTTAATATCAAAAACTTGTTAATGCTTTCGAAAATATGTAAGAATTTTTTCAGATCTTTATACAGTCCGAATACAACATAAAAATCAGCACTGAAGTTTGAAGAGGGTTGCAGACAAAGGATGAAAAGTTCACATTGCCGGCGGAGGATTAATAGTAATTCAATCATTCATTGAAAGAAACGTTTTTGGTATTTGTGATTATAATTACATGGTAAAGTACTATATAGTTTTATGTCGTTTTCAGAAACAATATTGTTCCTTTCGAAAGTGACATGTACAACTAAAAAAATTAAGTTTTTCAGAAAAGAGAGAAGCTATTTTTCAATTAAATAGAAAATTATTGATTAATGAAATAATATCAGCAAAAAGAATATACTTTTGGACAAGGCTTGTTCAATTTGAGCTTCGGAGTCAAAATGCAAAGCTATCGGCATAAAAAATTCAATGTAAGATTTCAAGGACTGTAAAGTATCGATAAGCATCGCTCAGATGCGTATCAATACTTTACAGTCCCTGAAATCTTACATTGAATTTTTTTACGTTGATGGCTTTGTGTTTTGACTCCATAGCTCAAATTGGACAGGTCTGTCTTAGACACATCAAATATTATTTTTGTCATTTTCGTTTCACAATCCCTAAAGAAACCACTATTTTGAATTATAACACTTTTATATCTTAAAAAATTATAACAAATCCGGAATAATTTAGCAAAAATACATAAGTGTTGGGAAATTTGTTTAAGATATAACACATTTCAATTTTGTCCCGAACGGTACATTCAAATTTTTATGTTCATTTAACATAGGTATATAAAATGAATATGTTAGGAAATAACACAGATATTGTGTAAAAAAAATAATCACAAAAAAGATAACACTGACACAGTTTGTAAACAAACTATCTAAGTATATTTTTTATACCTAAGTATATTTTTTATGTCTAAGTATAATTAATTTGTGATATATTAAACGAACATATATTTTATTCATTTATCTTAGAATTTGCTTTTTAAAATTATTTTTATTTGTTCATTTACTCATAAATTATGTCATTTTGACACTAAGAAATGTTGAATATAAATTTAACACAAAATCTTTAAATAACATAATTACAATTAAATTAACACTCGAATATATTGAAAAATTCAACATAAACTGTTGACAAAAACGTGAGTGAACCGTTTCCAACAAATATACAAATGTTTTTTACTGTGTATATGGTATACTTCGAAATATCAGCAGCTTATATTTATCTTGATCAGTTGAAATGACTTTTAAAATAAAACAATTTCTTCTTCATACTTCGATCATCAAAACAGTCTTAATTCTAAATGTTTTCTGTAGAATAGAATTCCTTTTTATTTACAGAAACGATACAATTTAAAATGTATCACTGTTATAGAAAGTACTATTGTATAATCTCTTTGAAAATCTTAAGAACTCGATACAAGTGCTATTTGACGGACTGTAAAGTTGAATTTACTTTTGGTGATTGATAGAGTAATCTTTATCTAATTCATTCATGATAATGATTAAAAAATTACTTTTTTTTGGTTGTGTCACTTTTGATATCAGGAAACGATATATTCACTACATAGAGCTATAAGTATAACTATTGTTATTAACATTATAGCAATAATAACTATAAAAGTAAAGCTCTGTAATTATTTTACCATGAAATTATAATTCATAAATACAAAAAAAATTTCTCAGTGTTTCTTTTTATAAGATATAACAGTTTATGAAATTATATTAAACTTTATCTATGCGGTAACTCATGAGCCTATATTTTTTTAAATCAGAATTTTCGTTTGTGATATTCTTCCAACATAAAGCTCCTGATCATTCTGATTGTGCTGGGTGTATCAACTCATTTCTTTTTTCTTTAAAAAATCAAGCACACGCTTATTTCGCTTCGAGTGTGGGGAACGCGGGAAATAAATCAGGATCTCGCAACACGATTGATCCGCCATCTTTTCGATATCTCGATACTCGCAGTATCGCATCTCGATAAATTTTGAATCGCAGTCAGTCACGGAACGCATTGTATCGCGAGGATTGATTTACAAATCGCTCTGTATGTTTCAATAACTATTACTATTCTATAAGAACGAGTTTTGCACAAATACCCATCGTAAGTGTCTTATTGAGGCTCATTGTCAGCCGTGGCACGCTGTTTATCATAACTCATCAAGTTTTTCTCCGCTACCGAGTAACAAGCTTTGTTTTCAGTTGCAGCGACCATCCGCGGAAGGATTAAGCCATGATCAGACTAGAGATTGAAATTGGATTGAAATTTAACCAATCAAAGTAAGATTCATTAAACTTGAGATTGATTCTCTTTCTGAACTCTAATTTAATCAATCAGAAAAAAGAGAATCAATCTCAAGTATAATGAATCTTGCTTTGATTGGTTAAATTTCAATCTAATTTCAATCCTTAGTCTAATCACAGCTTTATGGGCTGGTATTCATAGTCAATTCTCATAAAATCGACTTAAGTACAGTTTTAAGATGTTATAAACTACTCACAGAATCGTATAAGCATCTTAAGACATTACTTAGACTAATATTATATTTGTTCCTAAGGGTTGGAATATAAAGTGAATCAAAGTCCTTCATCTGCTTCCTTTTCATGAAATAAAAGAGTTGGTTGATTGTTTTCTAAGGCATAAGAAAACCAGCCAGAGTCATTTATTTCATGGAAATGAAGGACTTTAATTGCTTTATTTTTTCAAATATTATGTTATGCGTTACAAGAGTCTGTGCTCTCCGGTTTAAAGGCCGCGACACAGACTTTTGCATAATACATAACGCATAGTGCATAAGAGAATCAACCAATCAAAGTTTTTCTTTTTCGTGAAGTGGAAAGAAAGGAAGGATTCTGATTAGTTGATTCTCTTATGCACTATGCGGTATGCAAAAGTCTGTTCCCCACTTTATTCTCTGTTCCCTGTTTCCTATTCCGTTGCGCGTAGCCCTTGTGAATACCGGCTATTAGTCGCGGTCGGCGGCGCGGCACAATTAAAATGGTGGCGCGCTTCCGCGAGGCGCCGCGCGGTGACGCTAGCGTCACCACAGCGCGCATCGTTCGCGGGCCGTCGCGGGCGCGATCCGCGCGCGTCACGTCCCTGCTTGAGAGCCTTTTGGCCCGTGAACTGCGCAGTTGACAGAGCCCGCACGACGCGTTGCACCGGTGAGTTTTCCCTCCAGATATTTTTCGCGCGACGCCCGGCATGTCTCCACGCCGGCGTCGCGACGCCGTCGCGCGCGAACATCACGGCGCTTCGCGGCGTATCGCGTTTCCGTTTTCGCGCCGCGCGTCCGCTTCGTATCACGATGCGAGAAACGCCTTATATGCACACGCGTATGTAACGTTTCGCGGCGCGGCAGCGGGCGCCTTTCCGTTGCCCATCTGTGTCGGTGTGCCGTCGCGACGCGCGCGTATGCGTGCGCGCGCTCTCGCGTTCTCCGTCTCTCTATCTATCTCTCTCTTTCTCTCTTGCCTGCTTTCGACGGCGCGGCGCGATGAAACTGGGACACCCGCTCGG